AGTCTGTTAATTAACTTGTGACTCACTGTAAATCTATCGTTTATCAGTAAAATTGAATTGCAAACCCGATATAATACGTTCAGCTTTAACGTATAATCATATGTACCATCGACAATATTTTTGACAACAGATTTAATATTGTTAAAAAATTATTCAGAATATTATTTTTGACTCTATTAAATCTCGATTTTTTACGAAAATGTTTTCCATGTGTGGTACACAATTCTCTCGGGGCGCGTGCCACTAAATAAACATGGTGTCAGGTAAGGGATACAGGTAATTATGAGACAATAATTGCCAATAATAGATCAAATGTAGCCTTTATAAATCAAGAACAATAGAGCACCTCGTAATTATAAAATTTCTCATAAATATCATCGGAATGTTGGTAGACACGTAACATAGTTCATCACCACGCCAAAGAGACTGAGATCCGCGTATGATCGAGATCGGTGTATAAAATATACAAGACAAGGGATTAAAACAAAACAGTGTAAAAAGAAAACAAAAATGGCAGTGGTTTGATTTATTGAAAAATAAAATATTAATTATCGATGTCATATCCCAACATATTATTTGAACACAGGTAAATACATTAGAGTATTGATATGAAATTTATTAGTGACGAAAAAAAATTTGAAATTGTCCACGGATCCTGGCAAAAAGTTGTACCGACTTATAGGCGGGTCAATGCCAAATTCCTCCAAAATAACCTCAAAAAACACAACTGACTTATAGGCGAGTATATACGGTAGGTCACTGTGACCTACTTTTTAATAAATATGTTTTTTGGCCCCAAGATGCATCATCTTACAAGATTTAATGATTCTAAACCTCTCAGTATTTGAATTAATGACCTTAATTGTTTTGAAAAAGATCAGCCATAAAATTCAAAAAGTAGGTCAAGGTGACCTACTTTTTAGTTGATGTACTTTGAGGACCCAAGATACATCAACTGACAAAGTTTGATAATCATAGGCCTTAAATTGTTCAAAATATGCCTCTAAATCATGATTTGAACAAACTTGAATCTACACTATCTGAGGATGCTTCCATATAAATATGACTCATCATGGCTTTGCTGTTCTTGAGAAGATTTTTAAATATTTTTCCTTTATATTTCTATGTAAAACTTTGATCCTCCATTGTGGCCCCACCCTACCCCCGAGGGTCATGATTTGAAACAAGAGGCCCACGGGCCTTATAGGTCACCTGAGTATCATGCAACAACTTCGCCACAATGGATTCATGTTTTAAACCAGAGGCCATGAAATTCACAATTTTGAAAGAGGCACACTTGCTCATCATAATTTTACATTTAGTAAGCTTACTTAATACCCAGAAAGAGAGCAGAGGATTATCAAAGAATTAATGCATTTTCACTATGTAATCATTAGAGCCCTGACCTAACACCAGAACCATGATGCAGGGGCCATAAAATTCACAATTTTGGAAGAGGCATCCTTACATATCATAACAATACTCTTAGTTCATCAGCTTAATACCCAGGAGAAAAGAAGAAGATTTTCAAAGAATTATTGCATTTTTATTATGTAATCATTAGAGCCCCGCCTTAACACCAGAACCCCTGACCCAGGGGCCATGAAATTCATAATTTTGGAAGAGGCACCTTTACTCATCATAACTATGCATCAGTTTGTTTGTTAAATACCCAGGATCAAAGAAAAAGATTTTTAAAGAAATAATGCATTATCACTTTATATTCAACAGAGCCCCACCCTAACACCAGAACCCCTGACCTAGGGGCCATGAATTTCACAATTTTGGAACAGGCACCCTTACATAGCATAACTATACTCTTAGTTCATTGGCTTATTACCAAGGAGAAAAGGAGAAGATTGTCAAAGAATTATTGCATTTTTACTATGTAATCATTAGAGCCCTGCCCTAAAACCAGAACCCCTGACCAGGGGGCCATGAAATTCACAATATAGGAATAGGCACCCTTATTCATCATAACTATGCCTTCAGCTTGTTTGCCCTGGATCAGAGAAGATTTTTAAAAGAAATAATGCATTTTCACTATACATGTATATTCAACAGAACGCTGCCCTAACACCAGAACCCCTGACCCTGGGGCCATGAAATTCACAATTTTGGAAGAGGCACCTTTCATCATCATAACTATGTATTTATTTTGTTTTCATAATATCCAAGAGCACAGAAGAAGCTTTTTTAAGAAATAATGCATTATCACTATATATTCAACAGAGCCCCACCCTAACACCAGAACCCCTGACCCTTGGGCCATAAAATTCACAATTTTGGAAGAGGCACTTCCTCATCATAACTATGTACTTAGTTCATCGGCTTAATACCCAGGAGCAGAGGAGAAGATTTTTGAATAATTAATGCATTTTCACTATATAATCATTAGATACCCACCCTAACACCAGAACCCCTGACCCAGGGGCCATGAAATTCACAATTTTAGAAGAGACACCTTTCCTCATCATAACTATGCATATTGTTTGTTTCCTAAATACCCAAGAGCAGAGGAGAAGATTTTTTAAGAATAATGCTTTTCACTACATATTCAACAGAGCCCCACCCTAGCACCAGAACCCCTGACCCTGGGGCCAT